CTTCCCCCGCGACGATAAAACCTCGTTCTGCTCGTAAATCCGAAAACGGTCTTCGGTGTTCCCCATAAAACTGTCAATCACGCTAGCCGAAACGTCGCCTACATCATCGCGACAGCTGACGACTCTGCTGGCCTCTAAGCGATCCATTGTAGACGAACGATGCGTGTCCCGATTTTTCCACGCACTCTTTCACGCGGATTTTCTTTCATTCCGCTTGGATACGCGCGCGCGCGCGGGTATTCCCCGGCCGGTGAACAATCGACGTTCGGCTTAATGCACGCCGGCTGAAAATGGATCGGCCGTCGCGATGAAATTCTCTGACATTTCGCGAGGCCCTTTTTTCCATGACGAAGAGAGAGCAGGATTTTTTACCTCTTTTCATTTGGTTTTATACCCTGTGTAGATGGGTAAGTCTGGTGTCGGGAAAAAGGTGCTTTTACGAGAGTTTGGCCGCTCGAGTGGAAGCAGTTAACATCTGTTGTTGCACACGCGCGAATGGATCGTAGGTGTCGCAGTTCGGGAATGTCAGATGTAGGGAGATGAAGCTTCATCAGGTTTGTCGCGTTCATTCTTGTGTAATTACATCCTTTATGCATTGGATATTTAGATAAACGCTTGAAGCTGTCGAAAATCATTGTACGACTCATTCTTGATGTATAATGAATTATACAATTCAATACCTGAAACATTTGCTCGTGTCTAGGGAGACTCGTTGAACCTAACCTCAAATCCTGCCTCCTATAGGATTTTTCAAGTATAGAGTATAACGATCGAACTGATATCGATCCTCAATCTTCTCAAATAATTTTTACCTAGTCACTCACGTTTCGAGTCGCAACATTAAATTAATTGACAACTGTCAGTCACCTGTCAAGTACAATATTGTGAATTTCAAAGTGTTTTCATGCACGCGATTAAATGTCTCCTCGATTCCACGAAAAACGAAGGAAAAACGTTGAGATTGTAGCGACAGCACAGAATAGACCTAATTGCAGCAATGCAACTGCCTCTTTGAACCGAGTGCACAGTGTGTCTCGTTAAATTTTTCGCGCGCCCAGGTGCGCTTGCTGTCCATGTCTAGGGAGACTCGTTGAACCTAACCTCAAATCCTGCCTCATATAGGATTTTTCAAGTATAGGGTATAACGATCGAACTGATATCGATCCTCAATCTTCTCAAATAATTTTTACCTAGTTAATCACGTTTCGAGTCGCAACATTAAATTAATTGACAACTGTCAGTCACCTGTCAAGTACAATATTGTGAATTTCAAAGTGTTTCCATGCACAGGATTAAATGTCTCCTCGATTCCACGAAAAACGAGGGAAAAACGTTGAGATTGTAGCGACAGCGCAGAATAGACCTAATTGCAGCAATGTAACTGCCTCTTTGATTCGAGTGCACAGTGTGTCTCGTTAAATTTTTCGCGCGCCCAGGTGCGCTCGCTGTCCACCGGCGCCCCGTTCAGCGGTCGTTTTCCGCGGATAGGATCGTCGGTTCGTTCACGAAGATTGAATCGGAATTGCTTTGTCGAAACCGACGTCGGCGACGTCGACGCGAGCCGTGGTCACCGTCGGTTCCGATCGTTGGGCATCGTGGGTAGAAGGAAAATTGCTTTTTAACCCTGTCCAACGATCGCGAGTCTCGAGATGGCCGACCACCGCACCCATCGAGCGATACTTTTTAGAAAGACCGAAACTCGATCCGCGGAGAAGACCTCTCGTCCTTTTGTCTTATTTCTATCAGGAACGCCTCCATCGAGATTGCCATTAACCTTCATTCCGCCGCTTCCTTCGATCTCCTTCGTTCCAGCCTGTCCTTTTGTCCACGGCCAGGCTCCAGCCACGATAACGGGTTATCTCCAACAGCCAACTAGTACCACCTTCGATCCCTGTCTTGATGCGGAGGGATCGACGATGCCCGAGCAATCGGTTTTTAGAAACGTTGTTTCCGGTTCGATTGTTATGGATATTGGCCAGTTCCGTGTTATTGAATTAGCTTTTCGAGCGTGTTAGTGTGTATACCTGTCATGGGGTTGTTCTCTTTCGTGCAAGATTTCGTGGAGTACTTTGACGATAGGGGGGTTTGTCAACGTTTATTGCCATTTATATTTTAACTGATTGTAATATTCAAAATTGAATGAAGGGTAATTATAGAAAAATGGAAATTAGGGGAGAGTTGGAGGAAACGAAATTTTTACCTTTACTCAGCTTAGATCAATATACATTGTTCGTAAGCATACGTCATCTCTGGATTCTGTCATCAATTACTGTTTCTTTGGTTTAGGTGTACGATGTATATTTTCACGTGAAATAATTATAGCAAATTGGAAATTAGAAGAAAGGTGAAGGAAACGAAATTTTTATTTT